CCCCAAAACCCCAAAACCCCAAAACCCCAAAACCCCAAAGTCTCAATTAGGGATTGAAGTCTTTTTAGCACAGATTTTAGCTTAATTGACACTACTTGGGATGCTGTCCTCAGAATAACTCTGGGATCTAAGAAGCCTTGTTTAAGATTAAAAGAGCCTTATTCTTGAAATAGAGCAATTGGATGGTATATAACAACTTTGCGATTTAGAAAGGAGTTTACTCCACAGTTTCTGGTGATAGACCTGAGTTTGCTAAAGGCAAACATCTTTTAGGCTATGTGATCAAAAATCCACTTGGCGGAATCTTAGGGTTAAGGAAAACTTCTATGGTTGATTTAAAAATATCTTTAGAAACCTAGAAATATCTAGGCTTCAGCTTGAAGATGAACTTCAGAATTACCAGAAGCTCTTATTTCTAAGATAAATTTTTGACAGTTTTGATGGCTGAAACCGCTATTGATTTTTATCTGGTGATACAGCACATCAGGTTCTCTTTGACACTCTTAATATTAAAAACTCTAGCCAGATATTTATCCAGCCTAGGCTGGTGAGTGCCTTGGCATCAAGTGTTAGTGTATGAGCCTCAAATATCTCAGAAGTTATTTTTGGGGAGGAAAACAATGAGATAACTTCAACGAAACTTGTTTTAGCAATATAATTACCTGCGATATTTTAAACCAAAACTCTTCTGGCTTTATCATGGTAGGTTCATAGAGCCAATTAAGAATGTCCAAAGTCACTTTTGTTGACTTAGAATCAGCATTATTTTCACTCAGTTTTCTAGAATCAGACTTTTGGAAGATATGAAATTTGTCAATGTCAGTAATATATGAAACGTAAGAGGAAGAGTTAGAGCATGAAGCTCTAGGAAATATAGCTACTCTGGACCTTTCTGAGTGAATTTGAAAACTGTACCTAAACCAGTAGAATATTAATTAACCTTTGTGGTGTGCTAGTTGGATTTAAACCTATTATTTTCAATTTTCGATGGCAAGGAGCTCTACCTAGCTGAGTTAGATATATGTCTGGAACCTTTCAAGACTCAGTCGAGGTAAGTCATGGCGTAGAAGCTGGGAGAAGCTCAATAGCAAGCTTTACTTCTGCTTTGATACAAATGCCTTATAAATGATCCAAAGCATGAGATATTGGTGAACTATTTCTTAAAACAATTGTTCTTAAATGAACAGTAGAATGCAACAGAGATGTTACCTCTTAAGGGTCTATTCGTACTTGTATATCTCGGCTTTCGAGTTATCTTCACCTTGCTCTTGGTGCCTTTCTTTCTATAATCTCAAGTTAATTTTCACCAAAATATTGGGATCTGAGGATGTGAAGTTTTGTTACCTTTATATTTTTGAAGGAATATCCTGCTATATCTGGGCCAATCTTCTTGCTGAAATTTGGTGAGAGATAAGCTAGGAATCTGAAATTCTCCTACAGATTACAGTGAATAGGAGGCTTTGGGGGTCTATCAGCAGGGTCAATAAGCATTTGTCCCTGAATGAAGTAGTTGAAGGAAGAAATTAGCTTAAGAACTTCACTTCCTGTATCTGAGTCTACTTACCCATCTGTTCTTACATTATAGGTGTTCAAACCATTTGCTTCTTCTTGAACTTAGGATTGGGAGACTTAAGACATCTATTGGTTTCTTGTTTGGCTAAGGACCAGCAACTATTACTTGTGTCAGGCAGGGTAGTCTATTTTTATTTCAAAGACATCTTTATTTGAGTAGGATTCTAAATGTATTATAAAGTTCGAGAATGCTAGAGAGTATTCTCTCCCCTTCTAGCATTGTAGTGGTCGGAATATCATAACTCTAGGGTTTAGGGGTAATGGCTCTCAGAAATATGGAAGCGTAGAAATTACTCCTTTTTCATAACCACTCTGTGGCTTTTGCTCTTATTTCATGGGTTTATTAAGAGAGATGTCGGCTTTGGGCTTTGCTTATTTATATTTATCATTAAGGCGGGCGAGCTCTTTGGTAAATAAGGGGCTTGGAGTGTTCAATTTGAGAATTGGAAACCTACTAGATCATATATGTCACTTATATTTCACTGATGAAATTAGTAGATGGCATCTGTTGGACATTAGATGTCTTGAGAATAAATGTGCAATTTATCTCCATCCTCTTTGTCTTCTTTCTAAGATTCGTTACTCATCTCCTCGAATAAGGACTGAAAGTTGGCTGCCTTCAGAGATTTTCTTATCTTAAGAAAGTCAGGTCTTCTGGTGAGGAACTGTACGAATTGCTGGTGGGTTTGATCCCTTCTTACCTTCTCTCTAAGGAATTTAGTGGGATGGCTTACTCTTGAGAATCGGTTTATGAGTCTTCTTCAGATTCAATTGGGTGCATAGCCTTTGAGTTACTGTAAATAGTCAGGTTTTGCTGGAGGAATTTATTCGTTTATAAAGTTGTTTCTTTCTCAAATTTTAAGGAATAATTTTGTCCTTTGAGGTCGTCCTGCGAGAATTTATGGCCTAGGTTTTAGTTCTTGTCATGGCTTATGACATAATAGCTTTGTTGAAGAGTGTTCGTAGCTTGTGATTACTGGCAATATCTAATTGGCTTGTCCAATATCACAAACTGGGCATTGGTATATTTCAATTAAGGAGTTAATCTTATCCTATAACTCTTCAATATCTTTCTGAGTGGGCTCAGGAGAGGTAGGTGCATATTGAGCAGTCACTACTGACCATGCTTACTATGCATAAATTTTTGATAATCGATATACATACAATTCCTAGCTGAAATTATAGCATATAGGGTATGAATTGAAGGATGTATAACAGCCTCTTCTTTGGTTACTTTTATTAGCTCTTTATTTAGCCTAGACTACATCTCTACCTCCTATGATAAATTCCTAGACTCTGTCGGCACATTTGAGCTATCTGAATGGCTTTACCCCCCATCAAAATTGGGAAAGAACCTTTTTTCTCGAAGAATTTTCTGAAGACGTGGCTGAAAGGAGAATAATAGAACAATTTAAAGAAGAATTATTGATGGATGCATGAATGCTGCACTCACATCTTATTTTCCTGTAAAGTTTTGGCCTTTTCTGGGTTCTCATGAGCTATAAAATATAGTTGTGGCTGAACACTTGGCTAGTATTAGGTGGTTCAGTGCGCTTATGTAGCTAACTTATCACCTGGTTTTTATTGCCTTAAAATTAGCTTCTAGCCTTGTCTGATCCCGTTGCTCAGCTTATGCTCCCAAGGATAGGGAAGAGCCAGAGATAATTGCGAGTAAGATTAGATCTTTTGGCTATATTTAGGTGTAAATTCCTGACCTTTTCAATACATATCTGAAGATTTAGAGTAATAGGATATTGAGGTAAGTTCTTAAGGTAATGCTCATTGATAATCTTTAGGGTTTCCTGTTTTGAGCTATTTGATTTAAGACTCATCTACGACTTCTGATACATTAAGTTCAAAGTAACTCATCTATTCTTCATAAATCTGTCATTAAGGTTCAAATTCTAGTACTCCTAAAGAAGATTGTGATCATTACTGATAATTTCTCACCACCTACTGTCTACTTTCAGCCCCTAATCTTCCCTCAATAAATTCTCTCAAAACACTTCCCAAGTCACTTATTTCCCTTGCTATACTCCAATACACACTTAATCATCTTAACTCTTCCTGATTCATTACACCACTATAAAATCCCTATTCCTTTAAGCCCGCTTACCCCACTTGGGTATTCTAGTATTATTCTAAGCGGGAGTGGGCGGTAAGAGTGGATGCTTTGTGTGTCTTCTTGACTTTGTTGGGTGACATTGCACATTTATATAAGATAAATTTATTATATTTCTCTTGAGATGTAAAATTATACTAAGTAGACACAAATGGGGTTTTGGGGTTTTGGGGTTTTGGGG